GGATTCTATAAGGATCCCATGAGGGTCTGTAGGGATCCCATGGAGATGCCATGAGGGTCTGTAGGGATTCCATGGGGATCCCATAAGGGTCTGTAGGGATTCCGTAGTGATCCCATGGGGGTCTGTAGGGATTCCATGGGGATCCCATGAGGGTCTGTAGGGATTCTATAGGGATCGCCTCGCTGATGCACTCTTGCATCATGGAGGGCAGAGTCGGTGGTTGTGCGAAACTGAATGTGTTCAGTTTTCGTGTTTTTTTGCTTGTGTCCTGGCGTTGTTCTGTTGTTCTGTTGTTTTTTCTTCGGAGGGGTGTGTGGGGGGGTGTCAGGCACCCGGCAGCTGGGTTCACCCTCTCTGGGAAGCCGACCAGCAGGGCCCCGGTGGGCCAGGCACCCGACAGCCGGGTTCACCTTGTTGTTGTGGTTGTTGCTGTTGTTGTTGTTGCTGATGTTGTTGTTGCTACTTATGTTGTTGTTGTTGCCGCTGTGTATGCTGTTGTTGTTGCTGCTGTTGTTGTAAGTGTCGTTGTTGTTGTTGTTGTTGTGGTTGTTGTTGTTGTTGTTGTTGTGGTTGTTGTTTTTATTTGTTGATGATGATGCTGATGACGACGATGATGATGCTGATTATGATGATGCTGATGATGATGGTAATGATGATGATGATGATGATGATGCTGATGATGATGATGATGATGATGATGATTAGGATGACGATAATAGTGACGATGATGATGATGAGGATGCTGATGATGATGCTGATGCTGCTGATGATGATGATAATGATGATGCTTATGCTGATGATGATGACGATGACGATTTTCGATGATGATCATGATGATGATGATGATGATGGTGATGATGCGGATGATGAGGATGACGAGGATGATGAGGATGATGAGGATGATGAGGATGATGAGGATGATGAAGAGGATGATGAGGATGATGATGAGGATGATGATGATGATGATGATGATGATGATGATGAAGATGATGATGATGATGATGATGATGATGATGATGATGATGATGCTGATGCTGATGCTGATGCTGATGCTGATGCTGATGCTGATGATGGTGATGATGGTGATGATGATGATGCTGGTGATGATGATGGTGGTGGTGGTGGTCATGATGATGGTGGTGATGATGATGGTGATGATGATTATGATGATGATGGTGGTGATGCTGATGATGATGCTGCTGATGATGATGATGATGATGATGATGATGGTGTTGGTGGTGGCGGTGGTGGTGATAATGGTGGTGATGATGATGGTGATGATGAGGGTGCTGCTGATGATGATGATGATGATGATGATGATGATGCTGATGAGGAGGAGGAGGAAGAACTCGAGGACGAGGTGGAGGTGGAGACTGAGGAAGAGGTGAATGAGGAGTTGGAGGTGAAGGATGGGAAGTACGAGTCAGGGGCCGTTGTCGTGGTAGGAGGGGATTGTGAGGGAGAGCATGAGCACGAGGTCGCATCGATGATACTTAAGATTCCGCGGCAGCGTTCGATTTCATGTGCATTATTCGTGATCAGATTCGTTAGTGCGTCTTCACTCCCAGGACACGCTCCCCACGTTAATTTTTTGGGCCTTTTGCTCTTCCCCTACACGCAGCGTGAACCTGATCCCTTTTGTAAGGCCCCCGCCCACATGCCGAATACTCTGGTGAGGATCACGATGCTGTTCCGCTTCGTGCCATCCGTTTACATGCAGCTTCCTGCAGTAGTTGTCAGCTTCTCCATTCCTTTCGTTTTCTGTTCGTCGTTGCCTCACTTGCTGGTCCCCCCTTTCTGAATTTCGGCATTTTCTGTGATGCGTTCGGTATCATGCATTGTACAGGTCGGACCTGCGATGCACTTGGCATTTGGCAGTGGTCATACCTTGTACTCACTGCTCCGGGCACTGCCGCACGGTGCCGTCTTGAGTTGTGCACAGACAAGATGATCTCCGCGTCGTCGCGCCGAGCCACCCCGCACGTTGTCCCGAAGGGGACCCGGGAGCCCCCTTTAGGACACCTTCGGGGCCCCTCCGACTCCCAAAGAAGTCTCCGATCCGATTCCGATACGAGCTCTGGGTTTCGATCTCACTCCGAGCCGGCGCGGCGATTGCGGGCCTGGCCCTGCTTTCACAAAAATCGGTGGGATCCCGATCCCGTAGGTGGCAGGATTGTCAGTTGGGGATTTTTTCCCTCGAGGAGACGCTCCGAGCCCTGACCAAGCCCAGATCGCCCTCTCCTCTTTTGATCCGGTCAGGGCTCCCCTCCTCCTCCTCCTGCTCCTCCTCCTCCTCCTCCTCCTCCTCCTCCTCCCTCCCCTCCGTAATTTCGGTCGAGTTTCATTCTGGCCCCTCCCGTCCCGTGCGCAGGCGCTGGACTTCTTCGCGCGGGCGGGAGTGCGAGGAGACCGCGCCACTGTGGCGCTGGTGCTGCCGTGGATCCAGAGGCTCTCCCCCGGCCGCCTCTTGGGGACCTGGGGCGCCCTGTGGAGGCCATCTTGGAGGATCTCGATCAAAGAAGGAGGAGGAGGAGGGGGAGGAGGAGGAGGAGGAGGAGGAGGAGGAGGAGGAGGAGGCGGAGGACGACGAGGAACGAGGAGAAGGGGGTCCCTTAACATCCTCGCCCCTCGAGAGTCCCTAAACTTGCCTCTTGGGGCCCTTTCGGGGCGCTCTCGAGGCACTCTGGCGCGCTCTAAGGGCCGTCTTGGGGCCTCCTTCGGCCTCTCATGGGGCTCGCTCGGACCACCTTGGAGCCATCCTGAGGCTTCGAAAGCCAATCGGGGACTAAACGTCGAGAATGCGAGAAGCACGGATTTCCATGAGATTTTGATCTGATTTTGGCCTCTTGGGGGAATCCTTTAGAGGCTCTGTGGCCACTTGGAGCGGTCTTGGGTGGAGCGGTCTAGGGAACTCTTGGATCACGTTGGAAGCCATTTTGAGCGATCTTGCGCTGTCGTGAGCCATCTTGGAGGTCATCTTGAGCTCTCTGGGGCCCTCTTGGAGCAATTTTGTGCCACGGCCTCCGAAACGGTCCAAGACCGCTCCGATGCGCCCAAGATGGCTTCCAGAAGGCCACAGAGGCACTCAAGACGGTCCAAGAAAACTCCAAGAGAGCTCCAAGATGCAACCATAGATTTGTAGCATACTCGCTTTTTTGGTGTCAGTGGCGTCCCAGAGGCCGTCGAAGGGCTCATGAAGGGCCCCAAAGGAACCCAAGTCGGCCCCGAGGCCCAGAAGGCGCTCCTAAGACGTGCCCTTCAAGAGGGTTCCAAGAAGGCCCCAGATGCTGCCACATGCTTCCCTGTTTCGAAAGGCCAACGAAGGACGCAACAAGCATTATATATATGCATATATATATACACACGTATATATTTACATATAGATGTATATTTCGATATATATATATAAATATATGTACATGCACATATATCTATGTATATATTCATAGATATATAGATAGACAGATATATCGATATATATATATATATATATATATATATATATATATATATAGATAAATAGAGATATATACATAGCGTTTTCTGCCCTCAGTCGGGCCCCAAAGCCCCAAGAGGCCTTCAGGAGGCCCCGAGGGGCCCCGGAGGAGACCTCCAGGAGTGCTCCAGAGGGCCCCAGGAGGCCTCCAGGAGAGGCCCACCAGTCTGCCGCGTCGTGGCGCCGCGGCGGCTCGCCGCCGTGGAAGCGGCAGTGGCCGGGTCTCAAAGGGGCGAGAGGGTGCCCCGCGGAGGGGCCGAGGAAGCCGACGGCAGGAGGCGGGCCCCCAGGGGCACCGGGGCGAGCCTCGGGCCGCGCACCCTTCCCGCGCCGAGGGCGGAGCGAGACCGCGGAGGCTCGCGGCAGTTGCCCCCCAGGGCAGCAGGAGGGCGGGTGGCGCCAGCCTCAAGTCGGGCCTGTCCCCCGCCAGCCTTATGTCGGGATTTTCGACGAAAAAAAAGAATACCCCAGAAATAGTCCAAAAACAGTCCCAAAATAGTCTGGGCACCATTTTTTGAGTATTCTTTGGCATCTTTTGGGCATTTTTGGGGTATTTTTTATTCTTCGTCGAAAATCCCCCTGTAGGGGGACAGGCCCGACTTAACGCCAGCCAGAGACCCGCCCACCTCACAGCTGCCACCCAGCCGTGATCAAGGCCCTTCGGGCCGAGGGATACAGTCGACCCGCAGAGTATGGATAGGCATCCCTCCCAAGGGTACCCTTTCATCCTTGCTTCCTGGGTTCATCCTTGGACGCTTTCGTTGGCCGCGCCCCGCTCGAAACGCTTCGAAATGGGCGTCCAAGGGCCTTGCATCCTTATAGCGCATCCTTACTCTGCGGGTTGACTGTACGGTGGAAGCCAGTCCACAAGAAACCATCCGCAAGAAACCCAACCCTGAGGCCCCAGGGCTTCCCTTGATTTCCGGTGCGGGAGCGTCGCGCTTTCCACAGCAAAACCATCGAGACCCAAGAAACCCAGAGGCACCCTGGAGGCACGCAAGGTGCTTCTTGGCATGGGCCTCCACTGTAAGAACCTCGGCACGGCAAAGCTTGCACATCATACAATGTGGAACACATGCTTCAGCTCGTAGAGCAAGCACGGAGTGCTTCTCATACTCAGCCGCGAGAACCAGCAGTAAGAATGTAAGCACCGAGAGCCCCCTCAAGGAAGCACGGAAAAACATCGACCTGTGTGCTCAACTTTGTCAAAAATGGCGGTGTATCCCAACACAGCATGGCGATCACCACTTGCTCTTACCGTTGTAGCATCAAGCACACAAACAAGGCAGGAGGAACACTGCAGAAAGTGCACAAAAAAATACTCCAACTTCTGAATTGGAGCCCAGCCCTCAACTGGAAGCAATGCGCTCGGCAAGGGCAATGCGACACAGAGGGGCGCGGCTCGTAGAGAGAGAGAGAGAGAGAGAGAGAGCAGCCTGGGAGCTAACATCACGCATTACTCCAAAGCCCATTGCGCGCCGACTTGCTGATGCGAAGGGCTCACTCATGAGACAGCTGCAGCGCGGCAACTACTGAGCAGATCAATGACGCTTGCGTAGGCGGCGACCGCATCCCTGACGATCGCTTCGACGATGGGCGACCTGGCCACTCCCTTGCCCTCAAGATGGCTGAGACTAACCTGCAAGGACACCTTGGACGGGTCTTCCAGGAAGCCTTCGTTGTCATCCAGGAAGCCTCCGACGTGGTCCAGGATGTCCACCGCACGATCCTTGAACGAGAGCTGCGGGCCGTCGACGTCCTCCGAGGTAGCGCCGAACCTGGTCCCGATCGCGTCCTTGCGCCGCGGTAGCGTCTCCTGGCACGTGACATGGGGCTTCCCCCGCTGCTGGGTGTTGGCGCCGGCAGCCGAAGCGTCGCCAGCGACGGCCACTTCCTCGCCCTCGAGGCCGAAGTCCAGCTCCTCCCAGCTTGCCGACGCGATCGGACCCACCCTTCGCGACCATGTCCTGCAGCTCAGCGTCGGCACCGCGCCGCTCGCTGCTGCCCCGCTCGGCGCAGTCGGGCGGAGGTCGGCGATTCTCCCGGCCTCCGAGGCGGAGGTCGGCGCGCTGGCCCCGGACCGAGCCCGTCGCTGTCAGCTCCCGCAGGGGGGCGCCTGGCAGCGTGAGCTCCTCGGACGCGGCGTCGCCCGGCTCCGCGTCGGCGCCGCGGCGAGACTTGGCCACCGCCAGCCGCGCAGCCTCCGTCGCCGCCGCCGCCCCTCTCGCCATCGCCTCCGCTCGCGTCGCGCTCGCGCTGCCCGGCGCCGAAGGCGGCAGGCCCTCCGGCGCTGCCGTCGCAGGTGCCGCCGCGCTCGGGGCTGCTCTCCTCGAAGGCCTCCTCCTCCACGACCGCCTCCGGGTATGCTGGAGCTCCCGACTCCTCGGCGGACGACGGCGCACAGGGCCGCGCCGAGCCGCGGCGAGGGGTCCGCACCGGCACGGCCCTGGCGCGGCGGCGTCGGCGGCGCCGGCGCCTGGGCCCGCCGCCCGCCTCCGTCTCGGCGACGGCCGTGCCGACGGCCGCTGGGGCCCGCACCCCATGTGGCCCCAGCGGAGGCTGCGAGACCTCTCCGCCGCCGCCGCGGCTGCGTTGGCGGCGCCCACCTCTCACGCTGGAGGGTGTGGCGGCCTCCGCAGGGAGACCGCTCTCGGCTGGCTCGCCGCGCCGCCGCTCGACGGAGGCGGGGGCGCCTTGGCTTAAGTCGGGCACGTCCCTCTGCATGAGGAGTATTCGAAAATATTCAGAAAATAGTATGGCGACGATTTTTAAGCTATTGTTGAATGTTTTTGAATATTCCCTAATGGGAGCTTGCCTCTATAGGGGTCCTAGCGGATTCATGTGGTTAGGTTAGCTGTGGCGCCGATTTCGGCGGCACGCTTGGGTGCCCGGGTGCCTGGGTGCCCAGGTGCCCAGGTGCCCGGGAGCCCTATAGCCCTATAGCTTTATAGCCTGATAGCCCTATGCCTATAGCCCTATAGCCCAATAGCCCTGTAGCCCAGTAGCCCTATACCCCTAATAGCCTTATAGCCCTATAGCCCTATAGCCCCAGAGCCTTATAGCCCTATAGCCCTATAGCCCCATAGCCCCATAGCCCTAATTATATCCCTACGGATATTCATATTGTTTTTTACCCCCGGTATCATGGCTCATTTTTCGCTCAAAATCCGCCTGTAGGAGGACAGGCCCGACCTAAGCCTTGGCCTCGGCTCCAGGCGGCCCGATGTCGGGCGCAGGCTGCTCCGAACGCCCCGCGGCCTCCGCTGCCGCCGCGGACGGCGGGGCCGCCGCGCGGAGCGCCCGGCGGCCGAGCGAGGGCCTCCCGCGGGACATCCGCGACCCCTGGCCGAGGTCGACGTGCGCCCCGACGCTGCGCGAGGCGCCAGCCCTGCCGCGGGGCCGCGCGCCCCGCAGCTGCCGGCGCACCGCTGGCGCCACGGCGAGCAGACGCACGGCAGGCTCGAGGCCCTCCTCGGGAGCACGCCGCGCCGCCGCCGCCCAGGCAGCGCCCGAGCACTGCGCGCGGCCGAGGCCGCGGCCGCCGCGGCGACTCGCCCGGAGCCCGCCGCCGGCCCCGGCCCCGTGCGCCGCCCCGTGGGCGCTGGCCCTCAAGAGCTCGGCAGCACCTGCCAGCCCCTCGGCGCCAGCCGACCGCAGCCCCGTGCTCGCGAGCCAGGGCCAGCGGGGGCCCCGCCTCAGCCGCGTGCCCCGGCCGGAGCCACAGCGGCCACGGAGGTCTGCCGTGGTGGTCTGGGCTGCCGTGCCTGGCCTGCTCGTTGGGAGCCGGCGTGCCGCGCCGGTCTGCCGCGCTCCTCGTCCATTGGCTGCTCCGTCGTGTTGGCTGCTCCGTCGTGTTGGCCTGCCGCGAGCCCTCTTCAGGGCCTGCTGGGGTACTTCGGGCGCCTCTTCGACGCCCAGACACCACCACATGAACGCAACAGACGAGCATGATCTCCTCGCACCTGCCTCGTACATGCCTCGCGGATCTCTCTCTCTCTCTCTCTTTCTCTCTTCCGTCTACCTTGCTCGCGCTGTGTCTTGGCCTTTTGCCCCGTCCATTCGAACATGCTTAGACGAGGGCGGAGCCTTCGGCGTTGAGTAGGGGGAGGGGCCCCCCCCGAAGGGTAAGGAAAGAGTTTGGAGCGGAAGCGCGCTAAACCACCTGCTGTCTCAAGGGCTGGTGGAATTATTTGGTTTCAATCTGTGATCTGAAGCAGGGATTCCGCAGGGGCAAGCCCGCCTCCCGAACGTTAAGAGCTTTGGTGGGCAGTGGCTCCCACAGTGTCAGGCTCCGTTGATTTCTGGTTTGGGGATCTGGCGCGCGTCTTGGTGCAAGAAGTCCAATGAGGAATGATACCAACACCGCTGCCCGTCCCTCGACTCCAGGGCTGGATTCGCCCTGAAGGCTTGTTCAGAACGCACCACGGGAGATTGCGAAGGCCTTACGCTCAGTGCCGCCGACCCTGAGGTTGGGGAGGAGGACGCGGAGCATGGGGCGGAATATGAGGAGGGGGACAGGAGGAAGAGGTGGATGAGGAGGAGTAGGAGCACAGGGGGGAATTAATAGGAGGAGAGCGAGGCGAGCAGGGTCGCATCTACAGGTGGAGGGGGCACCGCTGCCCGTTCCTCGACTCCAGGGCTGGATTCGCCCTGAAGGCTTGCTCAGAGCGCACCACGAGAGGTTCGGTGGAGTAGCGGTATTGGTATCTTTGTGGTTTCCAGTAAGTGGCCAGCCACAGGAGGTCAGGCTTTTAGCGGGTGGCAGGAGTGACGTGGGCGGGATGTGGCGCGGTGCTTGCCGATCGCTCGGCAGAACCAAAAGTGCAGATGCCGATCTGGAATGGTGAGCCTCGGGGCGGTCCAATTGAGTCAGCGCAGGTCGGGGGGAGGGCAGAAGCGGCATCTGTTTCTGCACTTCGAGAGCCCGGGCGGAACTTTCGCCAGTCCGTGCTTTTTGCGGGCTCGCGGCGACGGGTGGAAGGGCATCTAGGAGATTCGGCAGGTCGTCGGCAGCAATTCGGTCGTGCCTCCTTCGCCTGCGGTCCCGTCCTGTCCTTCCTAGCTGCTGCCCAGCTTCTGCCAGTGCATCTTTCTCAGCCTGCTTGCTGCTGCTTTCCTTAATTCGAGGTGGGGCCGGAACCCTAACAAAAAATCTTATCAACCCGAAGAGGGCAGTTCTTAATCCCGTCGCTGCGGAGCCGCTCCATCCGTGTGGCGCTTCCTCCTCCTCCTCCTCCCCCTTGTCCTCCTCCTCCTCCTCCTCCTCCTCCTCCTCCTCCTCCTCCTCCTCCCCCTCCTCCTCCTCCTCGTCCTCCTCAATCCTCGACCTCCTCCTCATCTTCACCCTCTCTCCACTCGATTCCCCTTCGCCTCCTCCTTCCACCTCATCCTTCGTCGTCGTCGCACCTCCCATCCACGGTGTCCAGAGATTCTCTCGCTCAGCCACGCATTGCCTCGTTTCCCACCGTTGATCCGACCTCCACTGTTGCCCTTCCCATCGCATTTGGTCCTACCTCCAGCATTCCCCCGAAGAGGAGGCGGAGGAAGGGGAGGAAGGGAGGGAGGGAGGGAGCATGATGATGGTGATGATGATGATGATGATGATGATGATGATGATGATGGTGGTTGTGGAGGTAGTGGTTGTGATAATGGCGACGACGATGGTGATGATGATGGTGATGACGATTGCGCTGATGATGAAGAGGTTGATGATGCTGCTGATGATGCTGCTGATGATGATGACGATGGTGATGATGATGAAGAGGAGGATGATGATGACGGTGATGATGACGACGATGCTGATGATGCTGCTGATGCTGATTGTGATGAATTCGATGCTGCTGCTCATGATATGATGCTTATCCTGATGCTGATTCTGGTGCTAATGCTGCCAAGGATGATGTTTATGGTGTGAATGATGCTGATGTTGATGCTGATGATGAGGAACCTGATGATGCTGCTGCTGTTGATGATGATGATGACGATGGTGGGGGTGGTGGTGATGGTGATGGTGAGGTTGATGGTGATGGTTATGATGTTGTTGTTGTTATTATGGTTGTTGTTTTGCTGTTTTTGTTTTTGTTCCTGTTATTGTCGTCGTCGTCGTTGTCGTTGTTGTTGTGGTTGTGGTTGTTGTTTTTGTCGTCGTCGTTGTCGTTGTCGTTTGAGTTGTTGTTGTTGGTGTTGTTGTTGTTTTTGTTTTTGTCGTTGTTGTTTTTTGTCAATGTTGTTGGATGGTTGTTGTTGTGTTAATGGCCGTTGTCATTGCTATTGTTGTTGTGGTGGTTGTGGTGGTGCTGGTTGTTGTTGTCGTCGTTGTTGTGTTGTTGTTGCTGTTGTGGTTATTGTTGTTGTTGTTGTGGTTATTGCTGTTGCATTTGTAGTAATAGTAGTAGTAGTAGTAGTAGTAGTAGTAGTAGTTGTTGTTGTTGTTGTTGTTGTTGTTGTCGTCGTCGTCGTCGTCGTCGTCGTCGTCGTTGTTGTTGTTGTTGTTGAACATTATTTATTCTAAAGAATAATTATTGTTGGGCCCCCTGGTGCGCGCCCCCCCTGCGCCGCCTAGGCCGCAGCTACATTTTCATCATTTTCGTGAGGAAGCCTCAGAAAAGAGGGTGTGTACAGGATCCGGTTGTTTTGTTGTAATCCGCTTTCCCTTGCAAAAAACAATAGAAAATGACATTTCTTGTTCTAATATAATCAAATTTCAAGAATCCCTTGCAAAAAATAAGGTAAAGTGGACATTCGCGCGCGCAAGACGAAATCCTTCCAAAACCTTAGTGTTCGCAGCGATTTTAACATAAAAACATCAAAAAACCAATGGTTTTTCAACAAAAAATTGTCAAAATCTCATCCCGCGCGCTCTTGCGGATTCGTAGGAAACCCAACACTTTTTAAACATTTCTGTCAAACGGGCTTTTGCGAGCAACTTTTTCGAACTTCTGCGACAACGGTTGCGCACCTGCCAGGGCCATCATCCCTGTCAAATAATACCATGCGGGACACATTCGTTTTTTCTTCGCGCGCGCACGCCGAAATCTCCAAAAACCATTGGGCTTCTTAAGAATTTTAGCACCGCGCATCATAAAATCACACGAATCGCACCGTAGGTCCTCGAAAAACACCTGCACGACTTTTCAAAATTTCTACCCGCGCGCGCTGTCCGAATCCTAAAAAAACCAATGGTTTTCCAACATTTATGTTACATGAGCTCGCGCGAGCTACTTTCGCACGCTCTTGCAACGGGGTTCGCGCGCCTGCCAGGGGCCACAATCCCTTGCGGTTGCGCCATAG